GGTGTGTGTGTGGGTGTGTGTGTGTGGGTGTGTGTGTGGGTGTGTGTGTGTGGGTGTAAAGGCAGTACATTTCCCTCTCACCCTTCAGTCCCAGGAGGAGGGATCAGCTCTGTTTGCACTGCCACCACTTTACTGTAAATGACCTTCACTTCTGTTTGACTTCTGTTGGACACAAAGTGATACAAACTCTATTTTTGATCGTTTTCTTTTCRCCCTCTCTCTTTCCTCTGCTTGTTTCTCATACGTGCCTTTTGTTTTTCTCATTTGCATGTCTTTTCTCCTCCCGTTTATATTTGTGCGTATGTGTCGGTCTCTGCAGTGCTCACCCCTCCTGAAAGTGAGAAGGCTGATTCAGAAGACAGGGTCAGCCTGAAGGTGTGTACTCAGCATTTCTGCTTGTTTTTATAGGACTGAACAAACAGTCTCAACCCGTTGTTGTCTCTTTTCTTTTTCTTTCTCACGTTTAGTCATTTTTCTTCTAATTTCTTCCCCCCACAGACTCCAAAGCGGGTGGAGGTTCACTCCATTCACACCTACGTAGCCCTCTACAAGTTCCTGCCTCAGGAGAAGAACGACTTGGAATTACAGTTAGTCAAACTCTGTATTGTTTTTATGCCCTTTTTTTCCCTTATGTGTGTGAATTAGAGGAGCCAGGTGAGAAAGGACATCCATACACCATCTGCCTCCTCAGCAGGATCATCGTCAGGGGTTCAAACTGGGAGGCGGGTGGGGATCATGCTGGGAGGACGGGAAGGACAAACAGCTGCACCGACAGAAAAATCGTTTTTTTATGTCAGCAGGTACAACTAACTGCTGAGTGTGACGCAACGGTCACAACTAACACTGCAGATGCAGTACAGGATAACAGTAAGAGAGCCGAGCGTTCTTATGGGACAAAAGTGATTTCTCTGTGACACAGTGCAGTAAAATGTAGCTCAATCCTGATTCTAACAGTGCTGCAGTCAGTGTGTCCCTGTGTGCAGCTGGAGCTGGTGATAAGTAACCAAATCATGAAGTTTCCTTAAATAATCTGTTTGTGTCTACAGGCCCGGTGACAGGATTCAAGTCACGGATGATTCTAATGAAGACTGGTGGAAGGTAGTCTCTCAGTGTGTTGCAGTATTTTTCATCCACTAAATGTTTCAAAACCATTGCATTTTCTCATCTGATTACTAAGTCAGAGCCTTTGTGAATAAAGTAGTATCACTATAAATATCCAGAATGCCTCTGAATAGTCCTCTACACTAACATGTACTGTGCACAGCTCTCAAACAACTCCTCTGTTCAGAGACTATAAGAAGGAAGAGCTGCTGCTTGAAGAAGTGTAGGAGTGGTTAGCATAAAGAAGACAGGCCAGAGTTACTGCAGGTCAACAGCTCAGGGACCGAACATCCAGCAATTAAAGTCATTATCTAAATAAACCAAGTATTACAAAGATGTGTTACCTTTGAAACAGTTTATTTTGCTGCACTTAATCATGAATACAACATACAGAACCCTTTGTAATAAAAGTGGTGATAATTAAACAACAAAAACAAAAAGAACACATTCTGCCTCCTATTTGACACAAATAGGATTTTGACATCTCTGACTTGCCAAATTTTTAGACCAATTTTATTTTCACTTTCATAGTTTTATTTTCARCTGCTTGTACTTTTAACTGTCTTGAGTGTGCATTGAAAGGGTTTTTACGAGCTTGCAGCCAAGATTCTGACATTTCTGTAGATACCAAACATACCATTAAAGTAGAAAACTGGGGGTTTGGGCTTAAAGGGATCCATGATGATGATGATGATGATGAAAGCCTTTATTGTCATCGTTTGCACAATGAAATTACATTTAAGAACACCTATTCAAAAAGACCRTCCGTGTAATATATTTTTAAACTGATTAAAAACTAAACAGTCTACAGCAGAGGTGCCCAAAGTGGGGCCCGCRGGCCAAATTTGGCCCGCCAAGCCATTTGATTTGGCCCACTAGAAGTTGTCCTGGTTCCTAGATTGTAATCTCCTGTCTTATGTAGAAATACTATATTTAGACTTAGTCTTTTCAACCATTGGTCCAACTATAGGTACAAGGAGCTGTAGTCAGATAGTCCTAACTCATGGTGGTACCTTATCCTTGAAATATGTTAAGATTAAACTTAAAATACAAGTAACTTCAAGAGAATTTATATTAGATTTAAGTCCATGCCTAGATTTCCACACCTTATAAGACCACATATACCGGGTACTCAAATTTTAAATTATGAAAAGTCCCATGAGCCTTTGTTACCGAGCAAACGTTGAATTTTCTCCATGTCCATGGGCTGAAAAAACAAACAAAAAATGAGTGCAACCGCACTGGCTGCTAGCTTAATCATAAAAAATACAACTTTACTTGAAGTATTTGCATTTCGTGTATTTTATTATTGCATTTGGCCCACCACCCTCAGATTGATTTTAATCTTGGCCCTCTCAGGGAAAATGCTTGGGCACCCCTGGTCTACAGTATTTTACAGTCTTTATTTTACAGTTAAAATAAAAGTTTATCAAATAAAGTCTAATGTTACAACTAATCATGGATCCCTTTAAGAGATGAATGAACCAATTGGCGGGCCGAATTCAGCACAGGAAAGATCGTTTACAAATTTCGTGGCTTCCGTTTGAATTTAAAACTCTCCAAACCAGCATGCTGTGGTTAATGTGAAGTTATTTTCCATGCAGCAGGGACTCAAACCTGCGTCTTTTACTGTAAATGCAAAATAAAACTTCCATGCTGTTTGCTTCACCGCAATCCGAGCTGACAGTAAATATTTGCGTGGACTTGCGGACTAATTGTTTGCGCGTGTGTGTTTGTTTACCAGGGAAAAATCCGAGACAAGGTGGGATATTTCCCGGCCAACTTTGTGCAGCGGGTTCGCCCCGGCGAGCGGGTGTGGAAGGTCACTGCGGGTTTCCACGGCAGCCGAGACAAAAGCCAGATGACTGTGAAAGAGAACCAGGTGATCGCTACAAAATGCATTTTTTTTTGTTTTAATCTCATGCATACACAGATTCTTGAGGTTGTTTTTACTTTAATTACATGCAAATGATTGCAGACAACTGAGGACATGGTGTGATGACTCGCAGCCCAACTTTCTCTCACATTAACTGAACGTGCCCCTCCTCCCTCTGCAGATCTGTGTGGGGAAAAACGAGGAGACTGACGGCTTCCTCCGGCTGAGCAGCGCGAAGAAGAGAGGCCTGGTCCCTCTGAAGTGTCTGCTGGAAGTATGATGGCTTCTCCTTGATCCCCCCATGTTAACCTGACGAAGAAACACTCAGGAGAGTTCAACCAGCACCTCACTGAAAAGCAACCACCACATTAAAAAAAAAAAAARAAAAGAAAAAGTGGCTACAAATGAGCAGCTTGAGTGGCGATAGCCCACAGTTTTGCTTTTGGCTGCAAAAAGACCAAAGTTCTCACTTGAAGGAGCTTCTTTGGAGGTGCTCTGCTCTCCCAGTAGCACAGCTTCTTTTTGTGAGCTTTGAACACTCGCARGAGAAATGTAGCAAATAAAACGGAGGAGGAGACGTGTTGAGGGRACTCTGGCTACCTCAGAAGCCATTTCCACTGATCCGCTGCTAACGAAGGAGGAGCAAGGACTACTTTATGACATCAAGGCAAGCTCAAAGTCTGTTCAAACTGTCTTCATTTTGTTGTGTGTGTAGAGAGGAATCACAGTAAAATACTCGAGCTGTTTTGGCTTGAACAGACCAAGTTAAGTGGATTTCAGCTGAGTGTAAAAAATCTCCACATTGTCACAATATGCAGGTTTGTTGCTCTAATTCAGATTTATTATTTGCATACTGACTAAATATTCAGGTATAACATTCAGTAAAAGCGCAAGTCAAAAACACACACATTTACATACTCACACCAGGGTTTTCTGTGACCCAAACTGCTCCTCGGTAATTAGAATACGGTGCATTCGTGCCGTCACCAGCTTCAATGTGACTAATATTTTGCATGCACCTTGGGGAGGAGTTAGTTTGCCCTTCAGTCACACTCTGTCCTGTCCTCACACGCAGAGCTTATATATTCACTTTTATCTTAGCAGCTCTTTAATTAGCCATTAGAATATGTCTCCTGTTATTCTATTATACTCATCCTCTATCTGTATGTAACGCCTGGTTATATTATCATGTGTTTTACCGGCAGGGAAGAGCAGAACAAAACAAAATAATTAAAACAGGGAAAACTGTCAATCTTTCAGTCACTCAAAACCATCACCGTATAATTTTTCTGACTCCGACATTGTGGCGGAAATGATAACAACGGACAAAATTACCTCACTCTCTTTAATTCAATGCTCTGCCGTTAATAATAAGGCGGTGACAAAGCTGCCTCGGCTGTGGCAATAAGTGTAAATATAAACATGACGGTGTTTGTAAATAGYTTTGTTTACTTTGGCTCTAAATAACCCTGACCGAGAGGTTTGCAGCTTGGCCAGAGCCAAAGCAGGGCATTATTTCAGCTCTTCTATCTAACCTGCAGGAGATTAATGTTTACGGTCTCAACGATCTGCAGGGTGTACGCATCACTTTGCTCAGATGATATTGAAATTGAGATTTGACATTGAAAAATTAAACACTGAAAAAAGAAACAATGAAAAGTGAAACATTGAAAAACTAAACATTGAAAAGATTTTGGCATTGTAACTTTAAAATGCCAAAATC